GTACCAGTCCTACATCCGGGCGTACATGGGGAACTCCAGAGAACTCAAAGCCCTATCTTTTTTTTTAAATATCAGATGTCCTCAACCTTGGCCATGCTGCACAGAGCTTTGGCATTGACAAGAAGCCCAGTGAGGTCCGGGCGCAACTTTAGAGCTTTGTCAGGGAAGGCAGGAAGATCGCGAGAGAGTCGTCTTCCCTCACCACGCAAGAGGAGGGAAAGTGGAGCGATGACTTTCCAAGTCGGAGAAGACTGCAGGTGGAGGTACGTCATGACGATCGCTACCGAAGTATGGTTGCGCAGGAGCAGCGCAATGTGAAAGCCCAGTGCTGTTGAAAGGTGGAATCAAAACTTAACTGTTCCCGAGTGAAGGGAGAAGCTGCGCGCCAAAAGACACAAGGGCTCCGGACGCATCCACACTGTTTAATTACGTTTTACTAGATCCACTGCGGAGTCTGCTTTGGCGATTTGCTGCGCCTGTGATATTTCCAGTGTCGTTGCTTATTTCTGTTTCACAATGTGTTCCACGGTTGATGCTCAGCTTCCTCTACAATGGGGGCTAGAGAAGCATGACAACATACTGGGGCTTCAAGCTTACGGATATCATGGGCCTCAGCTTTGTCAATCCGGATCAGTTAACGGAGGCCGACAGCACCACGTTCTACGGTGCGTATGTCACGCACTGGCCCGAATATAAACGCATGTGTCTTCACTTGACGACAGGCATTTGCATGGCGTACACACTTGGCGAGGCCGAGGAGTTCCACGGGCACGTATCTGCAGTCACAGTCGCACCAATGTTTTGTCGTCTGGGTTTGGAGGGGGCGCTCATGACGGGGCTTGAAATCACAACATCTCCTGCCTTCATAACGCGTACTTTGTGGACTTGTTTGTGCGGCAAAGCAATAAAGCTGCTCGTGAGATGTACCAGAAACTGGGTTACATTGTCTACCGACGCACGCTTGGCTACTACCGAGGTGACGGCCCCAAAGGGATATTTAAGGAGGATGAAGATGCGCTAGACATGCGCAAGACCATGCCGCGTGACAGGGAGAGAGGAAGGAGCAGTGTTATTCCTGTTGATAGGCCCATCAAACCCGAAGAGTTGGAGTGGAACTAACACGGAAAGCTATGTGAGTCTGTGAGTGCGTGTGGGTGCATTGTCCAACTTTTTTTTTTTACCGTCAACGCCGTTGAAAATTCACTGAGTCTGATATATCGTCTTGCTCGGACTAGGGAAAATTATTTTTGGGAGATCACTTTTTGTTTGCAGCATAAAGAAGGCGAGAGAACAAAAAAAAAGAGAGGTATGCTGATGAATTCATAGTCTCCCCAGTAGAATGCCAAGCTGACGCTCAAAAGACTGTGAAGCTCCTATCCAACATTGGGAAGGACGCAGCACATTGGAAA